TTTTCAATGAGAAATAACCGGTGAAAAATGCATTTTGTCTAATGAACAGCATGAAAAAACGAAAGTTGATTTGGTAAGCACTATAAGTTAAATGTTGTAGATTCTAGTTCTGCCTATAGGATTCAAACGAAAGCTCAGTTTGTGTAGATATTATTATTGGCTCGATTAGTGAACAACCGAAGTCAGTGTAAATTTTTTTATAGTCAAAGAAACTTCAGGTTGTCTGCTTAGGATAAAAAGTTGGATAAAGCTATGATTAGAAATAGAGTTTCATTCATAGCTTGGATAGAATTGTCAAACAAAAGAACAACTGAACTGTTAGAAAATGATCGTGGTAAACCTAGAGTTCTTCAGAAATTACATGTCTCCATAGCCCAAGACATCGTCCTTGCCCCTTAACAGGCTGCTGTTCTATCCAGATTCAGTTGTTCTGCAAATTACGCAGTCATTATTTGCGTAATTAATTACGCAATATTTATTGTATATTAATAACTGCATAATAACAAAACAATAAATGATATAATCGGTTTTTTCTAATTTATTTTCGTTTGTCTTTTTATTTTTTTTTTTTATTTATGACTTTAAAACAAAATATACAACAAAAGTATTAAGCATTATCATCCGTCGTTGCTTGTTGTTCATTGCTATGCTGAATCTGTTGTTGTTGTTGTTGTCCTGCTGGCAGTGGAGAAGGTGGTGACACGTTTGTTGATACTACTGTTTTAACAATTCGTCGTCGCTCGTCGACAATGAATTGAACAAGTGTTGGTCGAATTAAAGAATAATAACATTCATCATAATTAATTTGCTTAATTCGATATTTCGAACGAATGGCATCTAAAATGATACGGAGACATAGAAGACGTGGCATTCCAAGTTGTGTGATGAAAGATTTGAAGAAAGTCGATGTTATTTCTGCACAGTTTGTCGCAGAAAGTTGATGTTATTTCTTGCAGAAAGTCAATGTATATAATTAATAAATCATAATTACCAGTCTCTGTCACTAACGAAGAACCTCCGATTTACAGTATACTCAAACTCTTTTCAGTCGGAGCGCCAAGCCTAAAATGCATAATAGAATAACGTTGTCCTCAATTCAAAATCTTAAATTTTGTCCACATTATGTCTCAAAGACTGTATCTCAATCAGAGAACTTATCCCTAAAATATTTTCTTAATCAAGCGTTTCCTTCTTTAGTAGGTCGTCTATGCAATAATGTCGTATACAGAAGAGTAGTACATGGAAACGATATTCAATATGGTTGATTTCTGTGACTTTATTGCGTTATCAACAGGTTCATTTTTTTAGCCAATCGTCACATGTATAGACGACCTACTAAGGAAGGAAGCGCTTGATTAAGAAAATATTTTAGGGATAAGTTCTCTGATTGAGATACATTCTTTCAGACATAATGTGGGCAAAATTTAAGACTTTGAATTGAAGACAACGTTATTCTATTATGCATTTTAGGCTTGGCGCTCTGACTGTTTGCAAAAAAATCGACTTTCTGCGAAAACAATACAGACTTTCTGCCAAAGCTTTTGTGTCGTTCTACCTTTTTTTGGGGCTAGTGAGCACATTTTCGCTGCTTTTGCTGTAATACAAGCACATAAGTTGCAGTAGTAGAGAAAAGTGATTCTGAAAACCTTTAGAAGCTTTACAAATCGATAAGAGTTGTTTTACTGAACTCTGTTCGATGAAGCCAGACACGAAAGAACAGCATTGAGAAAATAGATTAGAAGAATGACAGATATGAATTTTATGTTCAAACTGACAAAACAAAGAACTTATGAACAATAACAGCTCAGGTCACACAAAGAAAGTGATGGGATCTTATTTAAAAAACAAAAACGTGGATGGAACAGCTTACAGATCTTAGAATTAGTTCTCAAAAAGGAATGAATATGACTGCTGGAAGAAAAACTTACTTATCGTTAAGACAAATTCCTTATTTCTTCTAATTCACTTTCTCAAGGAAAGGAAGAGAGTAATTCTTAACTAAAATGGTGTCGAGCGTGAAGCAGTGTCAAAAAGAAATAAAACGGGTCTGACGATACTCTCTCTATAAAGCGCTATATTAAAAGTCTCTGACAAGATTTGACAAGTTGCACTTTTTACAATACAAGTAGAAAAGAATATCACTAAAGTCTGGGAAACAAATCCTTCTCTCCACTTTAGTCTTCTGGTTGCTCTAGAAGTAGAAAAAAATCAACGATTGCCGCTTGCTACATATGTAATTATCATTGGTTTGGCTGTACCATAATCCAATAAAACTGCACGCCTTCTTCTTCGCATTAAATGAGTTTTAAGTTAACCATGTCTGTTTAGAAACACTTGATTTAATTTATATACTGCTAGTCTATTTCTAGCTTTTGAAGTTATTTATAATCAATACACCGTACTAGAGAGCCATCTGTACCAGAGAATTCATCGAGTATGTATGAGAATGTTTTTGCTCGAAAAACCCTTTTATTATCTGTACACAGTAGGAAAAGATTCATCATGACCAATATCAAGTAGCACGATTATAAAGCAGATATACATCGGGGAAAGTTACTTCGTATAAGATCATACAAATTAGTTTCATTTATCGCTTATATTATTACACAAATTATTAAGAGCGTAATTTTAGATGAGATTATGTTATTTTCACCTGAAGATGATGTCTTAGACGTGTCTTAGATGATGTCTTAGACGAAAGTGCTAGTATTTACAAATAAATGAAAATTTTACAAGATCTGGTAAGATCATGAGAATTCTTGTCCTATGACCTTACAAGATCATGCCATTTCTTACAATATCACCTTGTACGATCTTATAGCAGGAAGTCACAAGATGTCGCAAGCTCTTATACTATCTTATAACAAGATCTTGTAAGATCATACTGTGTGATCTTATTACAAGATTTCGCAAGACAATCTCGGATCTTGTGAGATCTTACAGGTCATGTTTCACCTGGGCTTCTTTGAGGGAGTTACAGGTACAATCTGCCACGATTTTTGTCTTTGCTTTCGCATGTTTCGTAACATATGAGAAGAGGTACTGGGCAGTGGCATATTCATCAGTAATAACCTATGTATTTAAAGAGAACAAGATCATTATAAATCACATCGCGATTGGCTTATAAATAGGCACAGTATAAATGTTTGACTTTTATATCATTTTAATGTTAAAAACTTATACAATCAGAGCGTATTGCAATTTTGGTTAGTCAATGTTGCTTGAACCTGACTTATCTTTATTTAACCAGTCAATATCAATTAGGTATGCACCGGTATCGGTATACCGAATACCGAAAATCCCGAACTTCGGTATATACCGATACCGAAAATACCGACTTTTCCTTACTTGGATTTTTTTGGTTTTTTTCATTTGAAATGAGGTATTTTAGCATCCTGGACAAGCAGAATGTATAAACAACACTCAGCTGTGTATTTTGAGCATGTGCAGATAGAAAAAAAAGAAAAACTTTGGCTTTAGGCAAACAAAGCTCTTGTTTTTCGTCCCTGATTCATTCTGGGTGTCCAGGACGATAAAACATCTCATTTCAAAAGTCGGTATTTTCGGTATCGATATATACCGAAGTTCGGTATTTTTGGTATCGGTATTCATACCGAAAATACCGATACCGGTGCATACCTACCCGAGCAGATAAAATAACTCATTCGATAGGTACGGCGAGGGATCGTAAGTTTCCGAATATCCCTACCCGAGGGATCGAAATATTTTTCGAGGGGACGCGCCCCATCGGAATTCCAATCCCTCGAAATGACTAGCCCATCGAAACTTAAATTTCCAACCCTCTACAGTTTTTCGAACCATCGAAACCGATCGGAATATTCGAGGGCTCGAGGTCAGTCGCCTATCTAATGTTGAGTTTCGAGGCCTCGATGACTATTTCGATCTCTCTAAACCCATCGATATTTCCGAGAGATCGAAGATTTTACACTTTGTTTCTAGAGAATAAGTTTTGACTTTAATTCGAATCGAAATAATTGGAGTCCTCAAAATCAACAACTTCTCGGAAGTTAAATTCCGAGACATCTACGGATTTTTGATTCCGCAGAGCCAGTTCAGCTAAATGATTTATAGCAAAAACGGAATAGCTGTAGTTTAGAGGGACATCCCCCGCTCTAATTCTGGAATCGCTTGTTTCGAAACAAATCAGACGCTTGTCTGTCCTGTCGGACCATATATCTTTTTTATTATATAAACTGTTTATTTCGATGACGATAGAGAACAAAATCGAGACAGTTAGCACATTGGGCCTTGTCCAGACTACAAAAATTAGTGAGAAACTCGTAATCGTGTTGGATGAAAAAGTTAATTCCAGCTTAAGTCGCGTGCTCGACATGACTTAAGTTAATACTTAAGCGAGAAAAGAGTGTAGTCTGGACAAGGCCTTACAAGGTAAAGTTCGCTTGAGTAAGTACTGAGAAATATCAAGTTCGCATTGAACAATGGTAAAAGAAGTGAGAAAAAAAGAGAATATTGAAGTAGAGAAAAATATCAATTCAGGCATCACAGTTAGGAGCGAGAAACGTAGGGAAGAGTGAGTAACTCGGTTATTTATTTATCACTACGTTTCTACTTTCAAGACCACTTTTGAAGTCTTTTTATTACCTTGCGGTTTTCATCTTGCTCTTGTTTTGTTACTTCAGACTCTACTTATTTACTTTATTTTATTTTATGTGCAAACATGGCTCCCAAAAAAGATAGTGAGTACGAGCAGTGAGAAAAATGCCTTGAGCACCAACCGAATTATTTTCTTCATAGATAATATGTATTGTGTAGTCAGTTTCGATTCTAATGATGAGACAAGTTTAGCTTATGTGCCATTAACATGCATTCAATCAGTTCAAGGTGATAAAATTGCATTAAACAAAAGTTATCTATTTGTACATAAAACAAATCGTTCAATTAAAGAACGTGGCAAACTTCTGTTTCGAGGTGAGGAAAGTATAGAGTTTAATTTTTCATAGTCATCTCCAAAATAAAACTTGTTTTTTTTGTGTTAGGTACATTACAAGAGGTTAAAACATATTGTGAACTCGAGGATAATGCCGTAATAGATGATACAACATGGATCGATCAACCAGAAGTATTTACCAATGTAACCAATACAACAGCTAAATCTAAAACAAAACCCACAGCAACACAAAAGGGCGCCATTAAATGTGGACCCTATCAGGCTGGTGCTAGTAGTACAAAAAAGAAAACAAAACGTGCTATTAATCAAAATGAAAGTGATGACGAATGAGTCACCTCGAATGAGTCACCTTTTTATCTAATATTTGGGAGCTAAATATAAATGGCTGAAGTTAACCATTCACGATCTAAGATGAATAGGCAGAGAGAAAAATATGAAAGATCTGAGCTGCATTACTGCCACT